CACACACACACGCACACACACACACACACACACACACACACACACACACACACACACACACACACACACACACACACACACACACACACACACACACACACACACACACACACACACACACACACACACACACACACACACAGACGGCTATACAGACATCATCATGAAGATAGTCAGAATAGCTTTCTGAGGAACTAAAAAGGTCAAGATCTGATCAAAAATCGATTTACGAAAATCGAGGTGAAAACAATAACTTTCCTATTTTTTTCGAGAAAATCTTCGATGCTCCTAAAAAAGCGGACAGTTAAAAATATAAATTAATTAATCATAAACAATAGTCATTATAGTGGTAGGTTGAGACTATGAATTAAGTATATCGATACTGTCATTCTAATACCTCGTATCCCACAATATTTTACATATTGACTTTATTTGAAAAATAGAATGATAACAATATTATACAAGTCATGTTAAAAATTTAAAGCTCAAATAGTTTAATAACTATTTTTAAATTAATATTTTCATCTGTTGAAACTCATTTAATCAATGTTAAAAATGAACTGTTTGTACCATCTGTTGTAAAATTTTCTAAATGCGGGATACGACGTATTAGAATGGCAGTATCGATATAATATTGTAAAATTGTTTAATTGTATTAATTTTATTATATAAACCAAGTTTTTCAAAAAAAAAAAAAAATTTTTAATTTTGAAAATTACAAAATTTTTTAATCAAATGAAAAAAAAATAACTCGACCCACTCTGAGATTAGCGGCAATGATCCTAGAATTGATTGAAGTTTTTTTTGTTAAAAATAAAAACAAAATTCAAAAGTTGCGACCATCGACAAAATAACGGTGCTTCTAAAAAAAGGCAAAAATTTTATGGATTTTATAATCTCAAAATTTTTTTTAATTTTTTTCTCAAAAAAACTTTATTTTGAAAAAAAAGTCTCAATAGGTTAAATTTTGAAGAAGTTATAGCCATTTAAGAAAAAATGAGCCATTTTTTTCAAAAATTAATAATTTTTTTGGGTTTGGTAAAAAAATTCATGATAATGATAATATGAGTACATTTAATTTACAGTTGGTTTCGTGTTTTGTTTATTGATTGTAATTTCAATCGAATTGGAATGTTTTAAATAAATAAAATATTCTAGTATAACTTGAAGTTGACCATTACAAAGTTGCAAAAATTATTATTTATTCTTTTGTATTTTTTTTAAAACTAAATCTTACACCTGATTGGTCGATTAAAATGTTGAATAACTCAAAAACTACTGATAATTTTGAAAAGTGGTAAAGGAACTTTATGCTTAAAATCGTCTCCTCTATCTAAATCTTCTCGCTGTGAAAGTAATTCTGAATCACCCTGTATATGATTTATCATAATGTTGACGGGAGGGTAGGCCCACCCGTTACACGTATAAATATTAAATATGATTAATAAATAAAATAAAATTGTGAATTTCACTATTATTGGAACGATGTAGAATATAAAAAAATTCTGTTGATTTTCACAAGAAAATGGTCAAAACCTCGCTTAAGTTATTTACTTAATTATTATTTATAATTCTGTCATCTTCATTATTATAACCTAAGTCCTCCACTTTCCTGTGAAAATTAATAAATTATATTATTATGGAGGCGAATTTTAACATTCATAAAAAGTTTTTTATCTTTGTAATTATAAAAATAACAATTTAGTAAAACGGTTGACCCTACACGCTATCCCAGCAACTTCCTGCTAATTTTAAATGCAAAGAACTTTAAATTACCGAAATTATGACGTTTTTGACATTAAAACATGGTTTTACAGATATTTTGAACGCTCAAAGATCCAAAAGGAAACTATACACTTTTGAACTCAGAAGTAAAGTTTGTATTTAATAAAAGACTTATTTGAAAATATTTGAACGGCAGTAACTTTCGTACAAATCAATCGATTTTTAAGTGATAGGCAGTATACAGCACAGTAAAGAGAGCTTTAATAAAATTATCTAATAGAAATTCGATCAGGTGACAAATTAAAAAATTATATTGATAAATCATGGTTTTTTTATTTACACTACTCACAAAAATTAGGTGAAAAAAAAATGCAAATTTTTTTTAGATTTTTGACGGGCTGTATTTAAGCAAAAAATTATCATATCTCAAAAATAAAAAATGCATTTTAAAGCTCCAAAACTCCAGTTTTTAGATTTTGAAGTCAAAATTTTTTAGGAATTACGGTTTTAACATGATCCGATGAAATAAAGCGAAGAAAAAAATTTTCCAAATTTTTGATTTTTAACTTCCCGCTAAGAAAATTGAAAATTTTCAAAAATAGGAAAGTTATTGGTTTTACCCCGTTTTGCAGAAATCGAGTTTTCATCAGATCTCGTCCTTTTTCGTCTAATCTCGGAAATCTACGCAACAAATGGTCGTATCTTTCTAAATAAAAAATGAAATCAAAGCTGAATAAACAGGCTATCTGTTTCATAAAGTCGCTTTGTCTGAAAGAATTTTTCCGAGCCCGTAGAGCGAAAAAAAAAATCAAAAATTTGGAAAATTATTTTTTTGCTCTATTTCGCCGTATCATGTTAAAACCGTGATTCCTAAAAAATTTTGACCTTAAAATCTTAAAACTAGAGTCTCGGAGCTTTAAAATGAATTTTTTATTTTTGCGATTTCCGCTGAAATACAGCCCGTCAAAAATCTAAAAAAAATTTGCATTTATTTTATTCCCTTAATTTTTGTGAGTAGTGTATTTTAAACTAGAATTTAATATGCGCCCCTGAATATAAAGTTTGCATATATTTTCATCCTTATGATATATTCGAGCGATCTTATCACAAATAAATTGGCTTCACACATATTTAATCTCAATTTGGTGTTGGGAAATTACTACATCAAAATCGATCCGATGAGAAAACTTAAAATTATTTAAATAAAGCTCTATTTTTCCAAATTTTTCAATAATGATATCTCTTGAACAAATAAACCAATTTTGATGCAGTTTGCGACAACTAGCATAGTTGTTAGAGTTCTTACAATATTGTATGAGGCACGAAATCGATTGGTTGAAAACTGTTCAAGTTATACTGAGAAAAAAAAATAATTTTATTAAGAAAATCTTGATACAAGAATTTATGTTTTTGAAAATTTTCAAGAATATATATTCTTAGGTCAAGAAATTGTTAAATTGATTGAAATAATTTTTACTTAATTTAAATAAAGCTATTCTTTTGTTTACCTATTATCCAAAGATAAATATTGATGATCTTCTATTCAGAAAATAATTAATAATAATGGAATATTTGATCGTTAGCGAGTTTCTTTATCCAAGAAATTGTTAACTGAGTAAAAGAATTTTTTTTCTCAGTGTATATTGAAAAAACATATTTTGTTGAATTTTTCTTTAACAATATCTCACGAATGAACGAATGAATCGAGTTTTATTTTTTGAGCGACATTAAATGTTGTTTTTTAGCTAAAGAGCTGATTAGATTATAGAATGAGTTGATACAGTAGCTCGAAAGTTAATTTAAAAAAAAACATAATTTCAAAAGCATATTTTCCGTTTTTTTCTGAATTCCTTAAAATCTATAGCACCGAATTTGTTCAAACTTAGGGGAAACTCCAACTTATCAATTCTTTTGAAGTGGTTTCCCCAGATTTATTAAGCAAATTTTTTAAAGAATGAGTTAAATTAGTTGAAAAATTCTTCACAAGTATGATATTTTTAGCTTATCACATCTGTAATAACCCTAAAGAATAAGATAAATAATAAAAATGATTAAGATTTTAAATATAATCAGAGTTTTTAAAATATTAAAAAAAGACGTTAGTAATAATTTCGAAAATCATAAACGATCACTAACTAAGGTGTAAAATAAAGCACAAACTAATCAAAATTTTACATTTCTATATCTTGCTTTATTCATTAGCAAATTTGTAACTAACAAAGAAATAATATAATCTTGTTTGAATAGATTGGACACAAAATGATATCATCATTCTCATATAAAAAAAAAGTTATTTCTTTTCATAATAAGTTTTTCAAAACTTTTGAGTGTTTTTAAAGTATCAAACTCAATTAATCGTGAAAATTGTGAAGGCTGTTGGAACTGGTTAATAATCCTATCCTTAACACTCAACTTAAATTCCATGAACCCTTCAGCCCGAAGGTTACAATGCGGGCATTGTATTTTTGTTGTAATGGAAAGGTTGTCCGTTTTCCCTCTAATCACTGCTACGGCACACCTTCGACAGCTCAATTCGTGGTTGCAGGTCGTCCACATGATATTTGTGGGCTTCTCGTAACAAATCTCACAGTTGAGATTGTACCCATCACCTGTGTGACAGGAAAATTACATTAATAATAATTTGTTCGTTACTTTCAGCTAGTGTATTTGTTATCTATATTTGAGGGATAAAATAATTACAAGGTATAAAAAAATTTCTCTTACCTTCAGTGTCGTTGGGCAAAAAAACACGCTCTGTACTAGCTATTGAAGTGTTGCATATGAAGCAAATGTTATTTTGTCTCGTAATACAATTATTGCAAGACTCAATGTGTTTGCATGGCAAATTTATTGTTGTGACAAGTGCAACATTACATCTCCTGCATCGAGCATTATAAATGTCATTACCTAAAATATTAAACCATTATAATATAAATATACCTTAATAATGATAAAAAATAATTCTTGCGTTAACTAATTTTTACCATCAATGACTTCGGCATTAACATCAGCTGCTTGGAGTCCATCAATGACTCGTTGCATTTCATTTACAACAGATTCGCTTCTCTGGACCTCGTCGTCATCATTTCTCATATTATTTGCAAAAAGAAATGAAGTGTCCGGTAATGCGGCAACTAAATAGTATATTACACTACAAGAGCAGAAAGTTGAGATTCCTGCACTGCGCGCCATGATGCACCAGTTCAGGGCTCTCAAATTTCTGTCCTTGTAGTGTATACTAGTTTTTTTGCTATGCGGTCGAAAGTACGTAAAAATTGCGTTGAAAAAAATTGATGCCTGCCCCCGACATTTGCGGCACGAGCGAAGCGAGTGCTGCTAGTCGGGGAGGGGGGGGGCAGGCATCAAATACGCCTGTCAATAACGATATTAATATATAATCCATCATATTACTACTTTTTTTTGAGAAAAGATTTTAATTTAATTAAATAAATTTAAAGTTTTAAATATATTATAAATTAAATCGGATTTTAAGAATAAAACAAAAAAAACAGAAAAATGAAAGTATAATCGTAAAATGCATAAAAAAAAATCTGTTCTCCTATTCTTTCCCGATTAATTGCTTCGTTCTGATTTTGAGATTCTCAACAATTTTGACTAGCATTAAAATATCGTATACAGCATTATGCGCACCATCCGCAGAAATTGTAAGCTACGAAGCTAGACTAGTTAGAGGACACTCTCCTTTTCCTTTACGCTTTGTTACTGATTTGATGAGAGGCAGTGTATCTGCAAAACCTACAAACACAGACTCAAATTCATCAGTCATATTCATTTTCAACTTCCCGCTAAAAATCTCAAATTTTCAAAAATCGGGAAGTTATTGTTTTCACCCCGTTTTGCAAAAATCGAGATTTGATCAGATCTCGACGTTTGAAGGTTACAGGAAGCTTCCCTGACTATCCCCGCGAGGTTGTCACTGTGTATTTGTGTGTGTGTGTGTGTGTAGTAATTTTTTTTTTTTTTTGGGGGGGGAATCCTTTTTACAGATTCTAGGCATAGTTGTTGGTCTGGATATGTGGCGACTCGACGCAGCGTCACACTAAAACTCGACGCTGATGCCCCTACCCACTAAACCCTGAACCCCTTTCTCTTCTATCCTCTGATCCCCCATGGTACCGCCGTAAGGCATTTCTTCGCGGGGGGAGGAATTAGCTGCCGCTCTTCCTTCTGGTGGCTAAGATGTTATTTCTTCCTTCTAGTTTCTGTCATTCGCTCTGTTTCTTTCAATGGAACGCAGCTCTGTAAGGACTTCTGTGGCAAAAGTGCTTATAGCGTTCCAAGCAGTTTGACTCGACAACATTGTCTCTACTATTGTCTCTGGTTGAATTCTCCGGTTCAGGATCCTTTCTAGCTCATTTCAGTGAGGATCAAAACGTGGACACGCAAAGAAAACATGCTCTGCGTCCTCAATAACTCCTGGACAAGACGGGATCTCCGGAGAATCATCATGCTTAAAGCGGTGCAGGTACTCTCGAAAGCACCCATGTCCAGACAACATCTGCGTTAGATAATAGTTGACTTCACCATGATTTCGGTTCAGCCAAACATCGATCTTTAGTATGAGGCGATATGTCCATCTTCCTTTTGCTGCGGCGTCCCACTCAAGTTGCCATCGCGAGATGCTGTGCTGCCGTTCTTCTGTTCTAAGTTCTTCAGGGCTCAGTGCAGTTGACCTTTTTCGTTGGTAAAGGGCCCGTCTTTCCTCTGCTAGTACTCTAAGCGGCAGGGTTCCAGCAATGACGCACACTGCTTCTTCTGATATTGTGCGGAAGGCACTGGCAACTCTCAGAGCGCTCTGTCTGTAAATTGGACTCGGTTTTCTCCAAGATTCTTGCGTTTCTAATGCGTCAGCCCAAATGGATATATCATATGTGAGCACAGATGTTACTACTGATGACAGCAGTAGTCTTCTGCTCTGCTTTGGTCCACCAACGTTATGCATCAGTCGTGCTAGGCTCGCTCTAACTACTGATGCTTTGGTAGTCACATGTTCGACTTGTTGCTTGAAATTGAGTCGGGCATCAAGCATCACTCCCAGGTGCCGAATGTACGGTTGTGATGTGATCTTATGTTCTCCAACTTGTAACTTGATGGTTTCTATCGCTTTCCTGCTGGTAATGAGCACTGCTTTGGTTTTATGCTTAGCTAGTTGCAAGTTCACCGTATCCATCCATAAGTTAATCCGTCTAAATGTTATGTCAGATTTATCTCTTCAAGGTGCTTCGCGACAATCACCACAGCAACGTCATCTGCATATGCTACCAGTTTCACTTCTGCTAGCAATGCTATTTTCAGGAGACCATCATACATGATGTTCCATAGCAGAGGACCTAGAACTGAGCCCTGTGGTACACCACCAGTAATATCATACTCCTTAGGACCACTTTTTGTGTCGTATTTGAGGACTCTGTTTGTGAAGTAGCTTGCTACCATTCTACGCAAATACCCTGGGACTCGTTTCTCTTCAAGGGCGCGCATTACACAGTCCCAGTTAGCAGAGTTAAAAGCATTTTTGATGTCTAATGCAGCAACCAAACAATACTTTTTTGTGCCGCGATTCCATCTCTTTCCAGCAATCGCATCCTTAGCTGTGTTGATGACCAGGTTTATTGCATCCAGGGTTGACCGTTCTTTTCGGAAACCAAATTGGTTGTCTGCCAGGAGTGGGTCGACTACTGCATTTATTCGTTGATGAATTATGCGCTCAAATATCTTACCCGCCGTATCTAGCATGCAAAGTGGTCGGTAAGATGACGGTTCTTCTGGTGGCTTCTTCCCTTTAGGTAACAGTACCAATCGTTGCTGTTTCCACTTACGAGGAAAAGTCCCCTCCTTGAGGCATGCATTATAAGCATCTAGGAATAATGTTGGAGCTGCCTTTATGATGGTTTTCAAGGCTGAATTAGGGATTCCGTCCAATCCCGGCGCTTTATTATTCCCTACACGGTTACAAGCCTCCAGCAGTTCTTCTTTAGCGACAGGTGGGATGTCGTCCAATTCGCCTGGCTCCAACTGGTAATCTAAGTTGCGTTGCTGTGGAAACAGTGCAGTGACGATTTTCTGAAGAAGTTGAGGGTACGTATGTGATGGCATTTGTTGTTTTTTCAGGTGGGTCATAACCACCTTATAAGGCCTACCCCACACGTCTTTATCCACTTCGTATATAAGCTCTTTCCAGCATCTTCTTTTGCTCTCTTTGATGGCTTTATTCAGTTCACGACGCGCCTTTTTGTACTTTGCGATCAGCTCCACTGAGTTGGGCCGTTGATAGCCGCGCTGAGAGATTCTTCTTTTCTTATGACACTCTTTACGGAGGACGCTGATGTGGTCGTTCCACCAATGCACCGAAGGTCTCGAATTTATGCCACGTTTACGAGGCAAACTGGCATCACAAGCATCTGTTACTCTCTTCATCAGGTCCTTAGTCTGTTCTTCTGCACATCCAGTGTTGATCGGATCACCATCGAGGGCTATTAGTAATGCTTCTGAGTCAAAATATTTTACCTTCCCCCCAACGATGTTAGACTGCTTGACTGGTCTCTTGGGGTTCTGGTCGCTTGATATTTCCCAGAATATCGCATGATGGTCGCTGGCAGTGTAGATGTCCAACACTTTCCAGTTGCAGTCGCCTCTAGCTAGGCTATTACTGACAAAAGTGAGGTCTACAATTGAGCTTGCGTCACCTTTGGTGTAGGTCGGCGTATCACCCCTGTTGAGCAAAACTACATCTAGTGTAGTAAAGGCCTCCAGTAATGCTTTCCCTCGTGCGTTTGTATGTTTGCTGCCCCAGTCAACTGCCCAGGAGTCTCCGGCTATCGCTACAGGATGGTATTGCTTCGCATCTTCGGTTAGTCGATCCAGGAAATCAGTGAAGTTAACAATGGAGAGGGTAGGTGGTGCGTAGCAGCTATAGAAGCGGATGCCTTCTACTGATACTGCTACAAAGCCGGCATTGCTGTTGTCGACTGCATTTTGGAAAGAAAGCTTGCCACATGACCAGATGACAGCTTTGGATGAGCTGTCAGATTCCCAGGGTTGGGTACTCAGGTGTTTATATGGCTCTGCTATCAGTACCAATTCCAACTCTAATTCTCGCACGGATTGCATGAGCAGGTCATGCGCTGCCTCACAATGGTTGAGATTGAGCTGCAATATCCTCATGGTGAGCCACGTCCTTTGCTCCTTGCTGCTCAGCACATATTGCACACTTGGCAGAATTTTTACAGTCCGCGATACGGTGCCCATCTTGTCCACATCTGATGCAGAGTTTAGATCGGTCTACTTGGCTTTTACATTGGGGCCCAACATATCCAAAGTGCCAGCATTTAAAGCATTGGATAGGTCTCGTCGTCGCTTTGATTCGGCAGTTAACCCACCCGACATAGATCTTGCCGTTTCCTTCCACTAATTTTTGCGCGATGGTCATAGGTAAAGTGACTGCAGCCGTCTGCGTACCTCTGAAAGCCTTACGGATTTTTATTCCTTCTAGAGTTATGTCATGATCTTTTCCAACTTCCTCTTTCAGGGCGGCCTGGATCTCTTCCTTCGTCGTGTTTTCGTCGATGTCTCGAATCTCAATGGTCTCCTGTGGACCTTTACAGACTACCTTAGCATCGTCTTGAACAATTCCTGTGATGGTCGTCTGCAAGGCTTGGCCTTTGTCAGCACTTTTCCTTGAACGTGATCAGCATATCTCCGGTCATCGTCCTGCGGATCTTCTCAACGGTATTGCGAACCTGGTCTGCTGGGACATCACGCTTTATGCGGCGCAATATCTCGGAATACTTCTCTTTTTCGGCCGGGCGGATTATCAGCGCGTCAGGTCTGATCCATTTGCGCGATTTTTTCCGCTTAGGTTCCAGTCGTGGCTCCTTCGGCAATTGCTTTGAGAGTCGATCCTGCTCCTGCCTTCTTTTCTTCGATTCTACTTTTTGCCACGCATCAACCTCCTTATTTTTGGCACTCCGTGCCGCCACTTCTTTCGGAGGACTTGGTTTTGTGTCCTTTTTCTTCGTTACTTGGTTGACCGTTGGGTCTGGAGAGTTACGGTCTTTCCTCTTCCCAGACCTGCCACCAGTGTCGCTTCTGTTTTCTGTTACAGATTCACCATCGCCTTCGGCACCGGTGTCCATCTCTTCAACGGTGTCTGCGGCAGGTTGTCTGCTCTTCTTCGGTGTGACATTGGGGGTTTGCCGTTGTTGTGCCTGCCATCCGTCATCAAGTGCTCTGAACCTTTGTATGGCGTTAACTACGCCGGTTGTCTTCGTCTTGATCTCTTTGTGGATGTTGACTTAAGACTTAACAAATTCATGCTGCTCGCTAGTAAGCTTATCAAGGCGTTCTAGCGCTTGTGCCCTCTTCATCTCAGCGCTTGCTACGATAGCTGCTTGCTGGGGGTGAGCCTCATTTTGACTCTTGTTTGTTTCCATATTTTTACTCATACTTTTTAATTTACTAGCGTATCGTACGGAGTGGAGCGGGTTGCCATAACTAGGAACGGGTGTACCCTCGGAGATAGTACTCCTACCCCAGTTCCCTGAGGCTTAGCCGACACTTAGCCAGTCCCGGAATACACGGACGGACTAGACTCGCTCGGAGCGGTGAAGATTCCGATCTCTAACACTCACTGCGTACTTCTTGATCAAGGCCCGAAGTGGCTGGCTCCTGATCCACTGCTGCAACCTACACCTCAGCAGAGCAAGCTTACATCAGCCGTGGCCTGCATCGTCGGAAACTACGATACAGGTTCCGGTCACTCCCAGTGGGTCACAGCAAAGAACGATCGTTTTGTTAGGTCCGTTAGTGTGACCAACCCATTAAAGGGGAGTTTTGTCCACGGGAGCGTATTTTGTTTGGTTATTTTGCTTGGCTCCTACCCGCTGTGCCTCATCAACTAAGAGATTAAGTGTCATCCAAGGACAGCGAGCGTTCTCCCATCCGCTCGGGGAGACGCGCCCGGTAGCAGTATCTCTTCTGCCTTGAAGGTGTGTGTGTGTGTGTGTGTGTGTGTGTGTGTGTGTGTGTGTGACACTATGTGAGTATGTGACTCGCTTTTAACTTTTTGACGGTTGAACGATTTCATCGCGGTTGGTGTCATTCGAAAGGGCTTCACCCGAGCGTTCTCCCATCCGCTCGGGGAGACGCGCCCGGTAGCAGTATCTCTTCTGCGTCGATGGTGTGTGTGTGTGTGTGTGTGTGTGTGTGTGTGTGTGTGTGTGACACTATGTGAGTATGTGACTCGCTTTTAACTTTTTGACGGTTGAACGATTTCATCGCGGTTGGTGTCATTCGAAAGGGCTTCACCAAACTTAGATTACCTGTTAATTTAAATCGATTCGGACCGATAGATTTTGAAAAATTTCGAGAAATCTAAAAAAAAATCGGAAAAAATTTTTTTTCGAAAGTGGTTCTTTTGGAATAACTATTAAACGGCTTCATCGATCAACTCCAAAAACTAATCCACCCTTGAGCTTGAAAAACCACGTCGATCACCGCTAATCCGATCAAAATCGATTGATTGGTTCAAGAGATATCCTCGACGAAATATTTGGAAATATGGATTTTTTCAACATAACTCCGACATTTTTTAGAATAACTTCCAAACAGCTTTACCGATCGATTCCAAAAACTAATCAGCTCTTAACATTAAAAAACCACGTCGATCGTCGCCAGTCCGGTCAAAATCGGTTCATTCGTTCGTGAGGTATCGTTGACGAAAGAAAATCGAAAAAAGTGTTTTTTTAGAATTACTTCGAAATTCTTTGTTCGATCAAACTAACCTCACTGATTTGTCATGGGGCTTAAAAAATTGGATCGAATGCAACCAACCGTGTAAAAATCGAGTCATTTATTCAAAAGTTATTGCAGTTTGAAAATTTGAAAAATTGTGTTTTATCAAACTTCTATTAGACTTTTGAGCTCGAAGAGCTTAAAAGCTCAGAAAAGCTATCCCTTCAAGCTCAGGGAGCTCAAAATAACATATAAATTGTATTTTTGAGCTCAGAGAGCTCAAAAACATCATTAGTGCAATTTTAAGCACCTAGGTATGAAATTAGTGGGAAGTTGCACGGATGGCCTTCAGGGTCTACCGTTTTTCTAATTTTTTTTCATAGAGTTAATAAGAATAGGAGCATCAAATTTGCAATTGTAAGCAACTAAGACCACTGGTTGCTTCAGTTTCTTAAGAAAGTCATGAAAAGCATCCAAAGCTAATCTCAGTGGAATAGATGGTACTCTAGTTACCATTGACCATCAATTCACCTCTAATATTTGTTAAATCATTTGTTTCAGATGCTTGTGCTGCAATTTTTTGAATAGGGTTAACATAAACTGAAAATTTAGATTTATTGTATTGAGCCGCGATTTGTAGAATATCAGATTGTTTAGAGAAGCGTGATGTTTCCAAATCAAAAAATACTGCAATAGGTTCTGAAACTTGAGTTCATTATCAGATTCAATTATCTCTTCATTAATACCCTCTGAATTAAGAATTGAGTGATGAGCAACATCTGTGGAAAGCAATCCCATATTAGATTCATACTGAGTACCTTCCATATCTTCTTTCTTCTTCCGCAGATTACTACGCTGTTCTTTTCAAAACAAACTTTTTTTGAACTCAGGAAACTTCGCTTTTACATATCGTCGTTTTGCTATTTTTTTTTCTTCTGTTTACGTATTTATTTGTGTGAAAGCCAGGAGATAAAAGTCTTTTTGTTGCAGCTTCTTGAATGTATCTTTCACCGAGATTTTTCTTACCAATAGCACAGCCAAACCGAAAATCTCCAGAAGCCGTCTGAGAATAGCATCGAGACTTAGGGTAATGACTTGTCATAGTAGCATTCAAGCTATCATTCGCCTGGCTAGATGCACCAGCAGCAAAGGTCCAACGATGGGTATCGAGACAGGTAACGAGGAAAATACTAAAGTATAAAATTGATTATCGGAAAAGTCATAGCCCTTGCTCGCATGGGTAATTCCCTAAAATATCGATTGCGAGCATAGTGACTAGTAATTTCAGAAAACGTCTTGAGAGGCCCTCGTGATCGGCTACGAGGTCTCGTTGCTTTGGGAAAAATAAAAATCGGGAGACACGCGGTAGCCCGCTTGGTTTGAGGTAGACACACGGGACCCTCACTATTGTAATAGTGTGGATTTGATGCCTTGGATTGAGTTTCCTTTTTTCTGGTGAGTACTCACAAGTGGAGATTAATTCATATCCGCATATCGCGTTGTCTCCTGGCTCATATAATTAGAGATCATAATTTATTATTTTTTGTTGAGTCGATTCCGTCGGTAGTAAAAGGGTTGTAGAATAATACCTGTCCCGAAATCCACGCGTCGAGTCCTCGAATTGGCCAGTATTTATTTATTTATAATTTTATCTTATCGAGATAACCCGACTGAGGAATTCGGGTATATCTCAGGTCAATAAAAAGTTAGATATAATTTCTATTTATTTATATACGTCGTCGTAAATTAATAATATACTGAGGATTTATATTACTAATTAACAATTGTACGCGGCAAAATTATTATTATTGTTGTTATATAGTCCAACCGACTAAGAAATTCGGTACTGGACTTAGTTTAAGTAATTTCTGATTTTTGTTTGAATAAATAATTTATTTTATTATTAATATCGCGACTAATTTATTAATAATTTAATTTACGCAGTTTATTTCCTCTGTTCTTTCCTGATATTAGCATATTTTTTGTCTTCCCCTGAATACCTGCAGATTGGCCCTGGAAATTAAGGGTTTGTTGTTTCCCTAAGTAAAAGAACAACTGGCGTCCAAAAACCGTGCACTAACCTAGCCTGAGGAAGAGCTGCTGGTTGCTTGGGAGGCGAAGAGTTCCCTCCCAAGTCATTTTTTTGTTTGTTTAGTTTTTTTATTGGGCGACCTGGACAGAATTACGTATCTACTGATCGCTCCACTGTCAGTGAGGACGTAATTTTGTTACACTATTGCAAAAAGTAAGAGATGAAAATTTCCAGTGCTGCCTTTGTATCTTTCCGATAGAACTATAGCAAATTTTACAATAGTTGAATTGGAATGTCTCTCAATTAGTGTGAGTGATGGCCATGCACAGCGCTAGACTCTGAGTTTATGTAAATATTAAAGGATATGGGTCTTAGTTTACCTCGGATAGCGTAGAGGGAGAGTCTTTGGCTGCCAACACAAAGTTCTGGGTTCGATTCCCAGATAGCACAAAAATGTTTGTTTCTTTTTTTGATTACTGTACAGGTACCAATTAGTCCAGCCTTCTATCTCTCTCCCTTCCCAATATTTCTTTTAAAAAAACCAACTGTGAATTTTTACAATAGTTGAATTGTAAAGTTCACAAACACATATTGTATAATTTGCTCTATAGTATTCGACTTTTTAAAACTCTTGCTAGTCTTATTTGTTGGATAAAATTTACAATAGTAGATCGTAAAAATTACTAAATGAGAAGTATAGTCCACCGTTACTATTTTATTTAGCAAAAATTACAATAGTAAAATAGTAAAAACTCCTTCAATTTTCTATCAGTGTACGGCAACTTTCTTTAGCCACTTCCTCAACAGCTGTTCCTATCTCATTTTCATATTTTTTGAACATTTTTGAATCAATTGATGGCATATCAACAGAGGCTAACATTTTATTGACGTGAGTTGCTCCGATCCCAGAGTGAAGTGCGCCTGAAAATATATCATACAATAATACACTTCAATTACATTCATTTAATTATTTATAATTTACAAACCTATTGCAAACTTAGAATTTATGTCGAATGGTTGTCTTTTTGTCGTTGGATCTACATGTTGCTTGTCAGTAGAAACTTCGTTTGAAACATTGAAAGCTGTACATAATACATGCTAAATTGAACCCAAGCCACGTCGTTCTTCTCTTTTAATATTTTCTAAATCCAGCAATGCCTTACACTGTACGCATTTTAATTATTTAGCTAAATGAGTGACTTCTATTATTCTCCTTCCTGGTACAATGTCAGACAAAGAAGAGGTGAGATCACATTTTTCTTTCTTTTTTGTCCGTTTTTGCATTGAGAAATACGTTGGTTATAAATTTTTTCTTTTACTCGCTTTCCTTTCCAAAAATAACGCTTTTTTTCGTCACTCTTTATTTGTTTATTCTTCCAAGATTTTACAATTAAATATCACTTAATAACATTACTTTTAAACAGAACACAGATGTATACATCACAAACACGAATAGAGTAGTCAACGCATGCGCAACCGCGGAAAAATTTACGGCGTTGCCAAACTTTTCAAAAAATATTTAAAATTAAAAAATTTGTTATTTTATTTAAATTTAAAATAAATTATCAATTATTTGATAATAATATAGTTATTTAATGCATAAAAAATTATTTCGGTAAGCTAAATGTTATTAAATCACTAGTAGAAACTTGTTAAATTTTTTGAAAGTACAGTCTCGAGCAAAATTAATCCTTCTCAAGTCACGTACTATAGTATATATATATATGCATTGTGAGATGAAACTCAGTGAACGGACTGTAAGTCTTATACTTCCTTAAATTAACTAATCTATGTATGGCTTAAAGTTTAATATTGTGACGATAATAACAATAAAAATTATTTTTTTCTATTTTTTTCTTAAATTCTAAACCTCACACGTAATTGGTCAACTGTTATTTGTCATTAACTCAAAAATTACGAAGAATTTTAAAAAGTGCCAAAGGAACTTCAGGCTTAGAATCGTTTTTTGCATTTTAATCTTTCCGCTGTGAAAGTAATTTTAAATCACCCGGTATATACATATATATAATTTAAAATTTATTTTATTCTATTATAATTTCTCATACCAATATTTACAAATAAAAGAATTTTCATTTTTACTATTGTAACGTTCCCAAATTTTGGTTAATTAATTTTAAATAATTTAAATCCAAATTTGGCCTCGTGAGGGTATCCATAGATCCCAGGTGGCCTGTAATTGGTCGCGAGTGAAGGATTTTAACTAAACACTGAACTTCAGCATTCAGAGTAGGAAAACAGGGCAAGCCACGCTATTAAGCGTGCACCCCTGTAAGTTTATTCAAATAAAAACTCATAATTTAAAATTAAAGTTAAGTTTTAATAAAAATAAGTAAAAATCCAAGAGCGGAGTCAGTCCTCATAACTTCGGGACTCGCCCTGGGCTGACTATCCGCAGAATAATTATACAAAGTACGAATTAAAAATCGTTGACGTTGCATCGCAGGTTACACCCTAGTAAAGTCATCGGGCCCAGCTCTCATGCTGGTGTTTAGACTACAGCCCGGCGACTCTTTTATCATTGGAGATTTCCGTTACTTTGCTGACGCAAAGTAACGAATTACTCCCAGGGTCATTAAAAATTTTAAATAAATTTTTATCTGGTAAAATTTTTACCAATTAAATTTTACCAAAAATAAATCCAGCCCCTGAATTTGACCGGAACGTTACACTATCATAAACATTATCCACCGCGACAGTTCTTATTTGTCACAGCAATGGTTACTGTGCTGGACGAGAATGAGAAACGGTTTTCAAGTGACTCGTTCGGTTGCTTGAACAGCACTTATATTTGATTTATGTAGTAAGGATTATTCTGCTCATGGGAATCTGTATTATCCGAAAAGTTAACTCAAATCCTTAAAAATGATTCCCAATTTTGGAATTGTGGTTAAAATTATAATTCATTAATTAGTTAATTGTTGAAAAAAATATCTTCCGATTGAAAAAAAAAACAATATTCATGTTGGAGATAGTAATACTCACTTGTATACTACTCACACTACACTAGTCGTCGATTCATCACGCATGCTAGTTGCGCCGGTACACACACATGCATGCATATCGGTCTATACGTTTCTCCAACCATTCGTTACAAGTCGTCAAGATATACACCTCGTATAATACTTAGATATAATTTTTACATTGAATAAACGCTGAGAATAATTTATATGTGGTAAAACGACCACAGCGAGGGAGAGTTATCGGCTCGAAAGTAATACTGAAAAATAAGACAAACACAGAAGCGCAGTACCGCGAGCTAGTCGGATCGCTCATGTATCTATCAGTAGCGACCAGACCAGACATTGCGCATAGTGTAAGCATGCTGAGCCAGTTCAATGAGCATCCGAATGAAGAGCATTGGGGAGCTGCGAAAAGGGTACTTAGATACCTGAAAGGAACGTCGAAATTGGAACTTGTATATCGACAATCGATTGGAAGAATCGTGGGATATACCGACGCTGACTGGGGAAATGACCCCACCGATTCAAAGTCGTATATAGGGTACGCATTCATCCTCGAAGGAGCTGCAATTAGCTGGAAATCCAGGAAACAAAAGACAGTGGCACTGTCGACGACGGAGGCTGAGTATCAGCCCCTTACAGAAGCCACTAAAGAGTCAATGTATCTGAGAGGGCTCATCTACGAGTTGGGCATCCCACAATTCTCAGATGGAGAAATTTATTGCGATAATGAGGGTGCAATTAAATTGACTACGGCGACGAAGTTCCATGACCGGACCAAACACGTCAGGATCAAATTCAACTTAGTCAGAGAAGCAGTCCAGAACCAGACGATAAAACTGGCGCACATGCCAACAGATGAGATGATCGCCGACATTCTCACGAAAACACTAACCAGAGAGAGATACACTGATATCACGAAAGCACTGGAAGTGAGTGAGACGGAGTAATACAGCGCATGTGCTCGTATTAAGGAAGAGTGTTGGAGATAGTAATACTAACACGTATACTACTCACACTACGCTAGTCGTCGATTCATCGCGCATGATAGTTGCGCCGGTACACACACATCCATGCATGCATATCGGTCTATATGTTTCTCCAACCATTCGTTATAAGTCGTCAAGATATACACCTCGTGTAATACTTAGATATAATTCCTACATTGAATAGACGGTGAATATAATTTATATAACTCTTTTATTAATTATATTACCAAACTCTGCCTATCTTCCACATTTATTAATTTATTATTATATTTGTCAGAAACAAAAAGTATTATGGTTTTTTATGATTTCACCTAGAAATAATCGAAATTACAATAATTTAATATTTTTTTCAAATTTTTGACGCCGAGTATTAACTGAAAATTTCTTGTTTGCCTATCGTTTCATACACCCTAAGAATATTTAAGGGAGGGGTCTGGGTTTCAGCGTAAAAAAAAACACTTTTTTTGTGATTTTTTATCTCAAATATCGATTGAGCAATTTTATTCAAACCTTCTATACATT